GTAAAATTCACCAAGAAATTGGAGTACAAAAACTATTTTTATTACTAATTGATGAACCTTATGGTAGTAAAATGTTGTCCATGACTCTTCTCGTCATCTAACGACAATGATGACATTAAAGGCAATGAATTCTTTAAAGGAGCCTTAACCAATAGGAAAGTAGTTGTGATTTTAAACTAAATTCAGATTTTCAATTCTTTCACCACAGAAGCTAGTAATTTACTACCTCTGTTACACTATATTAATCATTTTAAGTTTAGGTGTAAGAATTAAGAAAATAGTTACTTATCTTTAATTTCATTGTTAAATAAAATAAAAGTGCCATCTTACCCTTTTCTTCACCCTCAATCTTCTATTTGATATAAAACTCCATTTATCGTTATACCTTTTCTTGTCTTTTTTTTATTTTTTCTTTCATTATTAAATGAAAAATTATTAAATCACTAATAGTAAATTTGATGTATTGTGAATTTAAGGAAAACTAAATAGCCATTTTGAAGAGTTTTAGAGATTCATAAGCCAAAAAGGAGTGCTATATATGAAACAGAGGAAAGTGGAGATCTTTGTTTTTTTAAAATAACAAAGATTAGAGTCATTAAGCTTTTATTGTAGGGTAAAGTTAAAAGAAAAAAAATTAAAGAGATCTTGGTTTACCCAAAATGAAAAATAAATAGGAACAAAAATTTGTACTTAAAATGACTAATATAGTGGAATAGGGGGAGTACATTTTTAAGATGTGTTTGATATTTCCAGTAATCTAAACAACTGAAGAGTAATGAATGAGCAACTTAAAAAGTTAGGTGACCATTATGTTAGGGCTACCATTTAAGTGATAAAAATGTTGATTTTAGCAATTTTTGTTAATAATTTTGTTAGAATTGTCAATTGGGTTCCTAAAATGTTGATTTTGCCAAAACCATCCATGAGATTACCCGATTTATGCAAGATTATGTAAGATTTTGATATAAATTAATTACTTTAACTGTCCAGCACTTGGTGGCCCAATGGCCACCCCTGCAGGGACGGCTTAGGACTAAAGAGGCTTGGGATCAAATCCCAAGCCCCCTCCCCCTTCCCCCAAAAAAACAAAGAATTCCCCATTGTTCAAAAAAAAAAAATTAATTACTTTAACTAGGAATTCAAGTTTTCCAAGTGGATTGTACATTTAAAATACAATTCGTTTTATAAATTTATTTAAATATTTTTAATGAAATAGTATAAAAAATAATTTTATTAAATAT